AAAACTTTGCAAAAACTTTAAATAACACTTTTAAAGATGATGATCTTCTTCCTTGATTACATGAGCTACGGCATTAGCCCAATCTTCTTTTCGTATCCGTTCCATTGAGAATTCTAACAAACGTTGGACATCAGAAATTTTATATGTCACGTTTTCACGATCTATGTAACCCCTTATTTGAGCCCAGATTAATTCTGTCGTGTTCAACTCGCAATGGTAAGGGGGAAGTCTCAAAATAGTAATGCCTTTAGCATGTGCCATTGTATCTACAACATGCTGGCGATATCTGTCACGATGCTGTCTAATTACATTTATAAGCTCAGTCTTAACCATGTCCTCGGAAAATGGAATTCCTTTTTGTCTTAACTAACTCTGCATATTTGCTTTTCTGGTGGCCATAGTTGGCAGATGTTTTATTAATAGACTATGATAAGAAGCGTTATCCATCACTATTATGGAATTAGGCTCGACTCGTGAAAGAAGGGATTGAAACCTTTTTTCAAAACGTTGGGCGTCCATGTCTTCATGGTAATCCCCCGTTTTTTTAGATAAAAAAATTAGTTCACTATCTTCTAAAAATCCACTCTCACTACCTATATGGGCTCAATTATTCGTTGCTCTTTACTCGTTGCTCCTCGTAACCCTGTTGATAAACCTTCCACAAATGCTTGACGATAACTCGTTATAGTAGTATCTTGCCAGATCTTAGATACTGTGTGACCAGCATTTACCCACGTTTCGTCCAGATAATAAATCTTTTTGCGGGCAGAATGAACCTCTCTAATACAACGAAGATATCTTTTGGCAATAATTTGGAAGGCAGATTTACGGGATCTTTTGGCATACATAAATTTTAAATCTTCTTTTATTATTGTCCTTAACGTCTTTTTGCTCATTTTAGGAATCAGACCATTCTCCATTACCTTTGTCCTAATGGATTCGAGGGTTGGCGCTTTATTCTCAAAAAAAAAGAATGAATAGTGGAGCGTACAAAATTTTTCTGGTACTCTTCCAATTTAATTTTTTTCTACCACGATAATGTACTTTTAGAGCTTGCACAATCCCAGTCACCTTTTTTCACGTACAATGCGTTCTATTGTCGACACGGATACTCCCGTTAAAAATGAACACTGAGCTAAAGCTTCTACTGTACGAAGTGTATTTAAATTTTTATACACTCTACAGACAATCTGCTTTTCTTCTACCGACATAAACTTTCGTTTTCTTTGTACATTGCTTAGACCCGCTACGTCATCCATCTTAATGCTCTAAAAAGAATAAACATCAATTATAATATTCTGCTATGTATTTGTTGTTTACTTACCACAAAAACTATTTTAAAATTAATAAATAATAATAAAGTCTATTTAAAAAATATATAAAAGTCACATGCACAAGAAACAGAACACACCCCGCCTCTGGACATATAAGAATGTGAAACGAATCAAATATATCATCTCATTACTATTTTTTCCAAGGACGTAAATATATAGCCAAGCGAAATGTTGATAAGTTTACCGATGTTTTAAAATATTTAACTGAACTGGTCCAACTATACGTTCGAAAAACGAACCGGTATGCACAATTTATATTGTTACGTGGGCAAATGTTATAATATTATTTCGTATATTTTACTTATTTACATTGTCGAAGCATACACAATAAAAACGACCCCGGTAAGTTTTACTCCCGATATTTAGCATTGTTGCCGTTAGCTCTCAGTTAAATTTGTAAATGAGACATCTTTAATTGAAATCTGTGTGACTATAGCCTTAATAAACTCAATGTCTTTTTTGTCTAAATTGATGTTTTTTAATTCATCTATTAACTTTATATGCTGCACTCGGTCAAAGGCCTTCCTAAAGTCTATGAAGCATACATATGCACTCTTGTTATATTCTCGACATTTCTGCAAGAGTACCGTCAAAGCAAATAATGCCTCTCTTGTACCCATGCCTCCTCTGAAGCCAAACTGAGTTTCATCTATCTGTTCCTCACATTTCTTACAAATTCGGTTTTGAACAATTTTCAAAAGAATCTTTAAAGGGTGGCACATTAGGCTTATCAATCTATAGTCATTACATGATTTGAGATTGTTGTTTTTTGGTAGAGGTAAAAATATCGATTTAAGCCTTTCTTCTGGGATGTTGCCCTCTACATATATGTGGTTGAGAATTCGGGTGAGTCTCTTTATATTACCGTCATCTAAGGCTTTTAACAGTTCAACTGGAATTTGATCAGGACCCGGTGCTTTTCCTTGTTTTGCATTCTGTAGGACATTCTTTACTTCTGAGGGTAAAATTTGTAGGTATTGTTTTTCTTCACCTATATCTTGTTCATTTTCTCTCTCGTCATGGAAAAGATGGATTATATATTGTTCCCATACTTCCTTTATTTTGCTCTCTTCAGTAAGTATTTCTCCATTATTATCTCTTGTTATGAGTGTTCTTCTTTATCTGGTGTTGCCTGTAAGTTCTTTAATTTTTTTATGTAAGTTTAAGGTGTCATGTTTGTTGCTGAGTTCTTCCAATTCCTGGCATTCTTTGTTCATCCATTCCTCCTTAGCCTTTCTGATTTCACATTTGATTTTATTCTTGATGGTTTTATATTTATTTTCATCTTTATTTTTGTATTTTTTTTTCTGTTATTAGCTCAACTATTTCCGGTGTCATCCAGTCTTTTTTAGTTATTTTCTCTTCTTCGCCTAGGACCTCCTTTCCCGCTTTTAGTATGGCTTTTTTCATATCTCTCCATTCAACGCTTCCTTCAGTTAATTTATTTATCTCTGCGTTTAGTTGCTGTTGGCAGTTGTCGTCTTTTAGGTTTTTGATGTTAATTTTGGTGGTTTTAACTTTTTTCTCCGGTTTCCTGAGTTTAATGTTGACGTTTGCTAGTAATAGATTATGATCCGTATCTGCATCTGCGCTTGGATAGGTTTTTGCACTTTGTACTCCATTACGAAACCTTCTGTTAATCGTTATAAAATCTATTTGGTTTCTAATTATATTGTTGGTGTTATCTTTTGGAGAAGTCCACGTGTATAATCTTCGTAGGGGTAGGTCGTGGTATGTATTTGTTATGACTAATTCTTTCTCCTGGCAGTATTGGACTAGTCTGTCTCCTCTTTCGTTTCTTTTACCTAACCCAAAATTTCCTACTATATTTCCAGTTTTTCCTCGACCGACTTTAGCATTAAAGTCGCCCATAATTATTTTTACCTCCTGCTTCTTTATGTTTTTTGTTAACAGTTCTAAGTCCGCGTAGGATTTTTCGACCTCAGCATCATTGCTATCAGATGTTGGAGCATACACTTGGATTAGATTTATGTTTAGAGGTTTGGCTTTCAGCTGAAGTAGCATCATACGTTAGTTAAAGGGAATGAAATTTGTCACAAACTCTTTTAAGTTATTGTTGATAATAATACCAACACCATGGCTGTGTTCTCCAGTGCTTTTGCCTGAGTAGAAAATAGTATTATTATCCTTGGTGTAGTTTACAGACTTTGGCCATCGGACTTGTGAAAGGCCCAATACTTGTATGTCTAATCTCTCCATTTCTAACATGACTGTTGTTAATTTTCCTGCTTCATAAAGTGTTCTTATATTCCATGTTGCTATGCGTTTTAAATCGCTTACACTAAATTTGTTTCTCCACCCTGGGATTCTTCGCACCCCTGTCCCATTAAAGGGACGCCGGGCACACGGGGCCACTGTTTGATTTACGTCCATTTGTGGTGGTTCTTGAGAATCCTTAGGGATCTTTAATGCAGTGGTTTCTCCTTGCTTTCTGCATCCTTATGCTGTTGATCTTGGTTCATCCGCCTTTGTGATCGATTTCTCAATCTCAGGACAAAAGAGTGCCCTTCCACTTACCAACTCATCCGCCCGAAGCCGTTGGTCAGTAAGTGGGGGTTTGCTTATACCGGCAAACATTCGGTGATTTCGCAGTGTCACAACCGGTTAAATCATAATTACCGCCTGTGATTATTCAGTATCAGACCGGTAAAGAGATTTTCTCTACCGCTCCGATCCTGTAATGACATAGCAGCTGCCCTATGCCATGCTCTCAGTTGATCCGCGGGTGTTTATTTGGCAGAGCCTTATTCACACCTGCCCCACATATTTGTAGGACGTTCCCTATCAGCCATTGGGACGCGCCGTGTTGAGGTTGAGAACTACCCCCCTCCGAGTGTTTTTTCCAAGAAGTACTGAAGAGCCCCTACTCAATTCAGAACTCCTTCTTCTTGGAAACTACACCGGCACGGTTAACACAAAAATTAAAAAAGAAAATTATCTATCCTATAAATACTTATTTTTCACAAAATAATTCACTATATTTTTAAGACAGCCGCAAATGATTTCTGGTGACGTTCAACAACTATGCACAAAATGACGACGATTGTAGAAGAGCTTGACACAAGAAACAGGGAGAGTTCGTAAGCAAAATTAAAAAAAATGGGGTGGCTTATGATACAAGCTGGCTCAAGGTATGTAAAAAAAATAAAAATAAAAAGGGTGCGTAGACGCAATGCTACTATATCTCTTGTAATTGTGTTTGTAATCTCTCTGTGTGATTGGTCATAGTTGCCACATACGTACATGTAAATAAAAAATAATAATAAAGAGATTCCCATGAAAAACTTTCGTCAAACTTTTAAACGTAGCATATGGGCATCACAGTCTATTGATTAAAATAAGTTTCAGCTTGTGGATTAAATCGACCTTTTTGACAAAAGCAATCGGCCTTAAATATTTAATATTAGTTAATATTAAATCATATGATAATTTAATAATAATCAAAGTATTTTAATGTACGTACTTTTGAAAAATATTACAAACATTTTTAGGAGAGAAAGATTAGATAAACATATGTACTACATACTTTGCACATCTATTCAAAATACGATAAGCTCTCTGTTATTTCCATATAATCAATTAATTTAATAATCTATCTCCTATATGTAAAAAACATATATATTAAACTAACTTAACAATAGTTTCATTGTTTTAAAATGAATAAAATAAGTATATCACTAGTGCTATTTTTTCTTGGAGCGGTAGTAGCTCAAGCAAATGATTGTGAAATAAATTCCATAGACCAAGTATTACCAGTTTTAGAACAATGTAGTGTCATTAGAGTAAACAACGTTTCGGTGCCATCTGGCCAAACTTTAGAATTGAATTTAAAAGAAAACTCACATCTTATATTTGATGGAACTGTAACATTTGACGTAAAATACCAGGACGAAGTACCTCTTGTTAGGATCAGTGGAGAAAATTTATTCGTTGAAGGTAGAAAAGGTAAGACTAATCGATTATAATGCTTATTATGTGAGTAAGAACCATCACGAGTAAGATATATGAAAGCAACTGTTTGTGATTGAGTACAGATTTTTTTTTTTTATTGAAATTAACGTGTCTCGACATCTATGGCCATTGACACGGTGAGTACATATTTATATATTGATATTTATTGAGTATTAACGTAGAGGTATTCATAGAAGTAATCCTATTTTTATAAATATAAACCAACTATGTCTTATTTTTATATTAAGTTTTATCGGTTAAAATACAAAAACATAATTATTTAGCAATAGAATAGAATTAATATAGAAATAATAGAATAGCAATGAATAAAACTACTTTTATGAAAATGAAGTCATTTCTTTGCAATAATCATCTCAGTTTAGAACTAAGACAAAGAATGGTTAAGTGCTATGTTTGGCCCATACTTTTATGTAGTGCAAAAATTTGAACGCTATAAATATCGATCATGAACAAAATTTAACCGTTGGAAATGTCATATATGTCGCATAGACGAATGCTGAAGATACCTTGGATAGCAAGAAAAACTAAAAAAAAGAAACTAGATAAATAAGGAGTACTAAGGAACGTCTACAAAGATAGAGAACTGCTAAAGACTGTTAAATATCGAAAAATGTCTTATCTGGGATATATAGTAAGGGGAAGTTGATATAAAATATTACAACTAATCCTTAAAGGCAAAATAAAAGGCTGAAGAGGTGTAGGAAGGAAACAGGTTTCTTGGTTGAGGAACATTGTGAATGGACTCGGATATTCAAGGAGGGACAATTATTTCATATTGCAGAAGATAGAGAAGCCTTCGCAATGGTGACCGCCAGCGTCGGATAATTCTGACATGGCACGCGAAGAAGGAGGACAAATAAGTAATATATTATTTTGATTGTTATATTATAACTTATATTTTTCCAACTACTGAACTTTACTGATTATCGTTTCAAATTCTAAGAAGACCAGTGATATTCTCTCAGTATTGTGCTATCAGCATATCGGATATCACATATAGGTACGCCATTGATTTTTATACCAGCTAGGTATTTTGATTAACCCTTATCTGGGCAACACATTTTACTTACGTAAAAGGGAAACTTGGGTCCGTTGAGAAAATGTCATGGTCCCATTCCAGGAATTCCTGAGGCCAGTCTGATGGCTAGAGCTGGCAGCCCCTTCATCAGAATCGGGCGCGAGAGGCCAATCACCTATCCGCCTCAAATTACTAGATTTTTGAAACTTTTACAGATAACAACCGGACGGATCCTTTGATAACGACCTTTGGCTTACGTAAACGGACAAGAATCGGACATTGAAACATAAAAACTATGATGCAAGCATCACGTCTTGCCCAAATTTGTAGAGAGATGAAAGCATATAAAGTCGATATTCTTGAATGTACTACTCAGATTTACCCATATATTTTTAATATTATTTTCTAATTTTTTATTAAAGTTAAATTTAAATTGTCTAGATTAAAAAAAGGTGCTACTATAGTATGCGGTCTACTTCGAGGGTGCGATCTACCTGAAGAATTTACAAAAAATAATGAAATGCAAGAAAACTTTTGTAGAAAAAATATTTATTCACAAGTAGTAAACATTTGGAGCCAAATAAAGACTTAATCAATAAATAAATAAAAACTTTTGTAAACCTGCCAGGCCATTTTATTTGAAAAGAGGGGTTGATGTTTACGCATACCCTGGAAAATAATTACGCTGTTGTTACTGTAGCTTACGCTTAGAGTTCTGTATTTGCTGAATTAAATGAAACTGCACTATAAATGCTACGTATTTATTGCATTAAAATAGCACGATGAATTTGTGTGCCTTTCGTTCTGAAGGTGAACTCTAACTCCCTTTAAGGCGAAGTCCCATGCATCCGATTTCCGAGATCCGACATACGAAAATCGTATGGTTTCGTAGTTGCTATTTGGAAGCTAGTCACATGGATGCGATTGTCGGATACGAAAATCTGTATAAACTGTTAACTGTCAATTTTTTGTTTATTGTTTGGATGTTTGGTGGTTTGGCTGGTAATTGCTGTTTTACCACTTTTGCGTAGTAAAACAGCAGAAGGGATTATTTCCGCATGGTATATAATCCCTTCTCCTGCTTTCAATTACTCAGTTTATTATGGATAACGTAGAAGAAACTATGTAACTTATTAAATGTGTAATTACGTATTCTAAGGTAATTGCAAATATTTATCAACATCATTTAGCTTCATTTCCGACAAGAGTGAAATAGATTATTAAAAGCCTCTTGTGACTTTTTTTACTGAAATATTTAACTAACCCAATATTTTCTTTGTCGAATTGTGCGTCTTGTTTTTTTGCGAATTAAAAGAAGCAGACATAATAATAGCCTTTTATTAACTTTACGAACATAGCTTCTTCGAATAAAATTCATGTTTCAATAAATTAAATGTACAGATGTTAAACTATTGGAATACAATTAGGTTACAAAACATCCGTTTTGTCGGAAAAAGTTAAAATCATTTTATCTTTATCCGATGTCGGAAGCGTAGTTAAAAATTTCGGATGAAATTCGGCGCGAAAATATTCTGATTCGATTCTGACCAATGAGAATACTTTCGGATCATCGTATCGTCGGAAATCGGATGCATGGGACTCCGCCTTTAGGTTGACGTGCGTAGCATCTATGAGCACCGAATTTAAACTCAAGTAGGGAATATTGGCGCGTACCATGATACAATGAATACAAGGTATGATATTGCGCATGACATTTGACAGCTGGCTCTCAGCTGGCCCAGGAGTGTCACGTAGTCAAGACCGCTCGAAATGGCTCGAATCCATTATTACAGCTTAACGTACACATGAATTTTGAAATTATTGTCAAAAAATGATCAATTTTTTTTACATGTCTTGTTTTTGGTATAATTGAATAAAAAATATATTTTCAGTAGCGTAAAACCTTTACTTTTCCTGGGGATTTAGGCGAAATATTTATTTTTGTTTTCATACATATACTAATAATATAAGCACTCTTTTTGTATGCAAATCCGTTGAAATTTCAAAATTTTGTGCAGGGAAAATACTGTGAGTAGATAAATAGTAGATTTGCGTATTCTGATTCACCGTCACTCACAAGGCTTGTATAAAAACAAAAGTTCGACAATTAATATCGAATATCAATGGTGACCATGCAAGTTGCAAGTTACGAGATAATATATTATATTTTAAAGAGTCACCTAGTCTTTATTTGTCTTAATCAAAATCGTAGGTTTTCACAAAGTTATAAGAGAGAACAAATAGATACAACGGATAAAGATAAAATGCGAGTACTTTTTGCAATTAAATTACTGCAGAGCTTGGTAATGAAACTAGTGCACTGGCTTTATTGGTTCAAAAAACCAATAATTAAAATGCCTTTTTTCCGTAATTATGACATACCTATAAAAGGTTTCTTAAAATAAAGCAATACCTGCGTTTCTCTAATATTGAATTTTTTGACAAAGATACTCACTCAAGTCCGATACTATAAGATCTGGGACGTTTATGAATACCTAAATGCCAAGTCTTTGTATGATTTAGAAATGATATACAAATTGACAAAAGCTTACTTCTCTAAAAAGGCAGTTACATACTGTGTGAATCCTCCTCCAGATATATTTGACATAACATAATTTAAACGGCAAAAGGATACAAATTTTGACAAACAATATAAAGATCTTGCAGTGTCAAGACGTATTGTTATGATGCTAATGAAACCTCGACTGTCGAAAGGTCACTGTTTGACAACAGACACTTTTAACATCCTCTTAACTAACTGACCTTGTATTAGCAGTTCGCACAGATACTTACTGTACAAATACAATGCAAAGAAAGGGTCTAGCACCAGAAATGAAGAACAAACTTAATTATTGCGTTTAAAAATGGAAAGGAATGGTAATGAAGTGGAAGGATGAACGAAAGGTTTGTTTGCTGTCGACGCTGCATAATGCCGCAATGGTTACTGAAGAAAGGAAAGGAAAGGAGATTAAAAACCTAGGATTGTTTAAGACTATAAGAATACTATGGGTAGCATCGACAGAGTCGACCAACATGATGCTGATTACCCTCTAACCAGGAAGCTTGGGAAGAGATGTAACAAAAAAATATTCTTCCACCTTCTCGAACATGCTGACTGAAATGCTTTTGTGCTGTACAGGAAAAGCGGAGCAGAAATTTCGAAGGGGTTTAATAACGCAACTGATTGTGGTTTGCTACATAGAAAGAGGGTTGTCAGGAGAAAGACCTTCAATACTGCCAAACTCACTTAGACTTACCGATTGACATTTCCTAGAAGTTGTTTCTGTCACAGGAAAAAAAGCTCATCCTACTAGAGTGTGTGTTATGGGCAGTAAGGCGAAGGATGTATCCGAAAAAAAGTTGAGGCGATAATCAAAGTAATACTGTCCTAAGTGCGATGTGGGACTTTGTGTAAAGCCCTGTTACGAGACTTGTCAAACGGTAACTAGCTTTTATTTTCTCTTGTTTGTGTTTATTATTAGAAAAATATAAATACATATATGCATGTTCTTTACGCTACAATGTAACTGTAAGCTTTTCTAAATAAATACTTTTTCATCATCATCCACAGCGTGCGCAAAAACTATCTAGTTTGCTGGGAATGGCTTTTAGATGAAAAACAAACATAAAATGCTCTAGGCAAGGTAGACAACAAAATCTTGTGCTCGCAAGTTTTATTAACCAACAAAAAACCCGCCAAACGAGATATCTCGGGATAGTTATTATACATCTTTTCAACCTTTCAAAAAATTAAACAACAAAGCAAAAATCAACATTGTATAACATTTTTTAATTCTGTTAACAAACTTAAGAAAAATGACATTATTGCGTTTCAAAATGGACAGGAATGGTAATGAAGTGGAAGGATGAACGAAAGGTTTGTTTGCTGTCAACGCTACATAATGCCGGAATGGTTACTGAAGAAAGGAAAATAAAGGAGATTAAAAACCTAGGA